AAATACCCAAATTGGGGACGAAAAAACACCAATTAAGGATGGCGGAGAGTGGGAGTGTCAGAGCTTACATAAATTGGAGAGGCAAAGAGCAGCCGCCGGCGGACGGGGGCAGGCGAGAGACGAGAAGAGAGTGAAAGCCGATAGGTGAGTGTGAGACGAGTTGTAAGTGCCGGAGCTTACATAAATTAAGAACGGCGGAGGCCGGAGGAACGACGAGCGACCGCCCGACGCCGGTTATTGGAGAGGCAAAAAGCAACCGGCGGCGGGAGAGAGACGAGATGAGAGCGAAAGCCGAAAGGTAAGTCTGAGCCAAGACGAGTCTCAGTTCTTAAAAAACTAGGGCATGTAATAATTTAATGTAAAAAGGAAAAGCGTGGTTAGGAGTGGTTAGGAATGTAAACTGAGTTGGGTCGGGTCGGTTTTAACAAAGCGAACCCGACAAGATATATAATTTATCCTATCCGATTCGATCCGTTATCCGACTAGTGATCTTGGTTGGGTTTTACTTTGCGGGTTATCGGGCGCTCATCGGATAACTGGGAAACCCAAATTTTTAAATTTGAGTATTATCTAATTCTGACCTCACTCGCTTAAGTAAAAAAAATAAAATAAAATAATTTTACAATTAATAATACAATTAATAAATTATTAACTAAGTTTCACAATAAAATAACTATAAAAAATTTTAGACTATTTTTGAAATAAATAATAAGATGTAATTATTCATCTTTTATTCTAGTTAATTATATAAAATCTAAAATAGGATAATGCGCTATATAAAATTTAATAACATATATCAAATGGAAATTTAAAATATGAGACTTGGGATAAGAATGTAATAATATAAGTGTCCTAGTATAAAAAAAAAAGTAGCTTTTGTTTAAATATTACTAATATGTTAAATATGTATTACTTTTCTCAATTCTTAATTTGGACAAAAAAAGTATATTTAGCCTCATTAATTTTAGTTTTTTTTAATCTATAATTTTTAATATTGTATATTCATATATTGTACTAACTTAAGACATTTATTCTTATACAATTGCATTTTGCCTGGAAGATAAACTATTAGTGTTAGTTGACAATACTTACAATATATTTTGTATATAAAATACAAGTTATAACATTAAATTTTTTGATTGATTATTATTTATCATACTTATGTAGTTACAAAATTTAAGTAATTAAATTTTTTATTGTACAACTACAACAAAACTTAAAAATAAAATTCAGAAAAAATAAAGTAAAACTTAACCATTAATATATATATATATATATACAGGGTTGGGTTCCGGTGAGAAAGGGTCATAACGAGAGAAATAAGAATAAATCGGGTCCATAAGATCAATTAGATCTAATGGACATGATCTGTCCACGCTAATTCACGCTGGGGACCAATTAAATTGCAACTGAGGGTATATTGGTAAAATTGTTAACACATTAACACAAACCAATGCCTCCCAGCTTACAGATCCTGCAGCTGAAAAATTAATGGCGACATTGATGGCGATCCCATAGCTCGATCTCGATGATTTTCCGAAAGAGATTTTTTTTCGAAATCTGAAATAAATTAACTCGTTCGAGCTTATCGATCAACATCCTCGAATTCGTAGCCAGTATTTTGACCATATCGTGATCAATTTCTCCTGCGAGTGTTGTAACCTAAATTTGGTCGATCCCAAAATTTTCGATCAAAACCCCGTTCACGACGACGATAATTCCTATATCAGGTACATTCATAGTGTTTTGTTCATTCAAGCGTAATTTAGTTCAATTATTGTTGTGACCATTTTTGTTACGTTTTTTTGTACTATTTGTCGTTCATTTCCCCCGTTTTAGGTTTATTTATTAGTTTTTAGTTCATTTTATAGTTTAATGTATGTTTTGTTCTATTTTGGCTTTTTATGTGTTTTTCGTGTATTTTGTCGTTTTTCTACGTTTTTCTTCTTATTTTTAGTGTGCAGGTCGGAAGCCCCGTGAGGAATCGATTTAGCTCAAAAACGGGTCGGAAAATCATGGTTGGATAGATGAGTTCCTTAGCTACACATAGGAAAAAGTGGAATCCAATTTCGAGTTCGAAAGAATCCGAACGGGCCAAAAATGCGAAGTCGTGCGAAACTCGTCTTTGGTGTGCTGGTCATAAGCCTTTGGAGAATAGTATTTCAAGAATAATTTGTCTATGCAAGCATCATTGAATAGAAGGGTTCGTTGGCTACATGTAGGAAAAAACAAAACTCAATTCCGAGTTCGGACGAGCTCAAACGAGCCCATAACGTGAAGTTGCTGCACTGCAGTCCGCGAGGATTTTTCTGCGCGCGAAAGTCGCGGCCGTGGAGCTACCCTAGCGCCGCTAGCACCCCCCCCTAGCGGCGCTAGCACCTGTTGGCAGACAAAAACTCCTTCATTTCCTTAAATTTTGGCATGTTTGGATGGTGCTTGATTATGGGGGGCTTGGAACCGAATTTTTTACCTAAACAAACCTGGTTGTGGTGTTGGAAAAGAGTCCACTACTCATGATCTTCCATTTCTTCTACAAAAGGGATCATCTATCACCACCATTGAGGACTACCACCATTCTTGAACCAAGGGGGGTTCTCCCCCCTCTTCATCTTCACTATCTCTTTTCACCTCCTTCTTCTTTTCTTCTTCTTGTATTTTCTTTATTTTGTCTTTTGGATGAAGCTTGTATCTGAAATCACCACTTGGAGATTGATATGTAAGTTTAATTTCTATTTGAATTAATTCATGCATAATGGTTAATTTAAGAGAAATACTTTGTTATGTTGAATCAATTATGAGTAGCTAATCCTCTAGCTAGGGTTAAGGGATAATCATTCCGGTTTGTTCTCATTTACTTGCATGACGATAGGTCAATCTTGACGAGTTGTTTTAATTTGGAATTGATAAAATCATACTCGATAAATGGTTATAACCTAAGAGTGACACTTAGGTTAATTATTGATATAATCAAAGGGTGACACTTTGATTTGTGATTGAATATTTATTTGTTGAGTTAGAGTTTGTTAATTCTACGAATTGCGACTTTTAGAACCGAAAGGGAGGAGTCGTAGAGATAATCAATTTCAAAACCGAGAGGGAGAAATTGGTGGAATTTGGCTCGTTTAGAGTAGACATGTTCGGAGACGTATTGTCTATGTGTTAATTGTTTCGTTAATTCGTTCATTTATGTTTATCAGCATGTTCGGAGACGTATTGAGGTTAAACCACTAAATAAGTTAATTAGTCGAGCCTTTTAACCGAGTTATTGATTGCGGTTAAATGTGTGTAGAACCGAAAGCGATTATTCCCGATACCCTAGCTCGTTTATCTTTTTGTCGTTTATATTTGTAGGTAGATTATCATTTTATGTTATTTCTTAGTTCATAAATCTCCAACCCTATCATGATTAGAGTGTTTAGGAGTTATTTTCCTTTCTTGTGATTTCAACACCAATTCTAAATTCCGAACCGCCTTCCTCGAGAGATTGACCCGGGAAACGAATCATTCGATTTGGTGCTCGGTAAATAAAAATAATTTGCAACAACAAATTTGGCGCCGTTGCCGGGGAAGGCAAGTAGGATATTTGGTTTTGGTATTGGTGTTATTTTTCATGTTTCTCTTACTTTTGTGATATTTGCTTAATTTCAGTGTTTTCTCTCGATTTTCTTATTTTCCATTTCTCTTGTTTTTGGTATATTTTTGAAAAATCATAAAAAAAAAAGAAAAAAAATTATTATATATATACTTCGTGGCTACGTGTGGTTGTTTTATTTTGGTGTGCAGGTATTTCAAACAAAAGAATCGATGAACTCGAGCAACATGTTCCCCTCCTCGCGAACCTTTCACTGGAACAATGGGTCGAGCTACGGCTCGTGGGAGTATGGCCAGGCATGTGCCTTCCCGTACGAGCAACCGTGGTACCCATTACCTTTCGAGCAATCATATGAGTTCCCCGTGGACTCCTCGGATGACAATGCTAAGCTCGATTTGGTTCTCGATTTTATGACCTCCCAAGCAGCCCGAACGAAAAATCTTGAGGCCGAAATCGAGAACCTAGCAGAACGTATTCGAGTATTGGAGGATCGAGTTTACAATTCTTCCCCCGATTCCCTCATGGTTAATGAACTTCGGGGAAACGCTTTGACGGATGATGAAAAATTCGATCTCGTTCTTGCTCGTATGTTGGCCCAAACAACTCGACTAAAGAAGATAGAGGTTGTATGCACTCGGTTGGTGGTGCAGCTTGACGGTATAATAGAACGCACTCAATCCGTCGAGCCACAAGTCAATGAGCCCATTAGCAATGTCTATCAGATTCACGAGGGCGAGACTGAAGACGAGGAAGATGCACTCCCAGAGATTGAGGGTGATATCGTGATGGAGGAAACTCCTGTGCCCGAATTCGAGAATCCCTCACTCAAGCCATCCCTCCGCGCCGTCGAGAAGGCCCCATTTAGCTCGACATGCTTCACGGACATTCTCGTATTCCGAGAAGTTGACTGTGGAGGTTTGATGAGAAGAGCTCTGGGCTGTTTCGTTACCATCCGTGGTGCTCACGCTCGGTTCTACAAGAACATTGCCACCCGAGCCCACCAGGTCCGCGGTCATGCCACCCTTCCCATGCTGCCGCTTCTCGAGAATACGAAGGCATGGCATGATCGTCACTTCTTTTTGGATCCTGGTCGATTTGTACAGGTTTCGTCAAGCTAATAACGTTAAACAAGCGCTTCTTGGGAGGCAACCCAAGTGATTTACTGCTTTATTGTGTGTTTCGTTTATGCTTTTTATTTTTGTTTTTGAATAATGGGAGTTTTGGAGTTTTGGCCAGGGACAAGCTTGTAGCATGACGATTGAGCTAAACGAAGAAGATCAAAGTCCCGGGTTGAGCATGGGCGAAAGAATTGCACATGAACGCCTATCCTCATCGACGCACATTCGGTTTGCACACCCTTTTCTCTTTTTTTGTTTTGGTTTCTTTTGAGTTTTGTGCTATTGTGTCGATGCTAAATTAGTTCATCATGTGAAATTGCTAAAGTCTCGATATTTGAACTTCCTGGTTATGTGTGGAAGCAATGAGGACATTGCTTCATTTTAAGTGTGGGGGAGTCTACGTGGATTTTGCATGCTTATGTGGTGGACCAGTCTAGTATCTAGGTTGTTGTGTTGTCGAGCATGTGGTATTGGTGAATTATATGATTTGTTGATAAATGCTTGATGAAATTGGGAAGTTATGATGACGGAAGTATTAATCATTGCCTCGATATTTACTTGATTGCTTTGGGTGGCATCTATGTACCTGGTGAGGTTTTGATCCTTATTCTTCTTTCTTGAGAGATATTGGTCGTATTCTCGAATGATTAGAACTTGCCTTGAGTCTACTTGAAAAGAATCGGTTTAAGTTTGAAATTGCGAAAATGATTGAGGCGTTTTGTTTGTTAGCTCGTTTTGCCTTGTTCTTGACCCTAAAAATACATTTTCAGATAGTAGCCCGTTGGAACTTGAAGCCTTTTCTTGTAAGCCATACATATATATATCTGATTGTTGACAGGTTTTGAGTTACGATTGGTGAAGTGGCGGTATTTTTGAATGAGGTAGAAATCGAGTTGCATTTTATGCTTGACAATAAAAGGAAAAAAAATATATATTAAAAAAAATCCGAATAAAAATATAATACATGAGAGCTCGCAAGACGAATCGATTGGATTCTACTCCGCTTACTTGTTATTCATTTTAACGAGTAATGAGTATTGAGAAACCACCTTAGGACACTTGGATGACCTCCAATGTTTAAACCTAAAGAATATTGTCCTTACGATTCGAGCTTGTTCGGAAATAGTAACTCTTTAAATAAAAAAAATGTGTAATAAGTCAAGCAATATTGCAATTCGATTGGAGCATTAATCTGTTGTTTGTGGAGACATTGGTGGACGGTATGTATGCTATCTTGTTGACTTTGGTCGAGTGGCAGACATTCAAGTATTTTATTACTCGAGAACTTTGATTGTTTATTTGAGTTTCTTGTCCATATATATATTCTTACCTTTACCTACAGCCACATTACAACCCGAGAAGTCCTCTTGATTCGAAAATTTTGAGCTTTGATTGATTTCGAGTAATTTAGACAATTGGCAAGCATATGTTGAAATGTGAATATCGACCAATTTTGAGCGAAACGATCATATATTCGAACAAGAAAATGAGTGAGGCATATATGATGACCTATGTGTTGAGAGTTTGTCATTTTAAGGCCAAGTCGATATTTGAGGCACATGGTCGTACAGTCGTTAGAATTCGACCCGATTGAGTTAATCATTTTGAGACATTTCTTATTTGAAACCGTACCCATGTTCGTGTTTTGTTTTCTTTTCTCTTTGTTCGGGACGAACAAAGGTTTAAGTGTAGGGGAGTTGTTGTGACCATTTTTGTTACGTTTTTCTGTACTATTTTGTCGTTCATTTCCCCTGTTTTAGGTCTATTTGTTAGTTTTTAGTTCATTTTATAGTTTATTGTATGTTTTGTTCTATTTTGGCTTTTTATGTGTTTTTCGTGTATTTTGTCGTTTTTCTACGTTTTTCTTCTTGTTTTTAGTGTGAAGGTCGGAAGCCCCGTGAGGAATCGATTTAGCTCCAAAACGGGTCGGGAAATCATGGTTGGATAAATGAGTTCCTTAGCTACACATAGGAAAAAGCGGAATCCAATTTCAAATTTGAAAGAATCCGAACGGGCCAAAAATGCGAAGTCGTGCGAAACACATCTTTGGTGTGTTGGTCATAAGCTTTTGGAGAATAGGATTTCAAGAATAATTTGGCTATGCAAGTATCATTGAATAGAAGGGTTCGTTGGCTACATGTAGGAAAAAACGGAACTCAATTCCGAGTTCAGACGAACTCAAACGAGCCCAAAACGTGAAGCCGCGCACTGCAGTCCGCGAAGATTTTTCTGCGCGCGACAGTCTCGGCCGCGGAGCTACCCTAGCGCCGCTAGCACCCCCCTAGCGGCGCTAACACCTGTTGGCAGACAAAAACTTCTTTTTTTCCTTAAATTTTGGCATGTTTGGATGGTGCTTGATTATGGAGGGCTTGGGATCGAATTTTTCACCTAAAAACCAGATTGTGGAGTTGGAAAAGAGTCCACTACTCATGGTCTTCCATTTCTTCTACAAAAGGGATCATCTATCACCACCATTGAGGACTACCACCATTCTTGAACCAAGGGGGGTTCTCCCCCCTCTTCATCTTCACTATCTCTTTTCATCTCCTTCTTCTTCTTTTCTTCTTCTTGTATTTTCTTTATTTTGTCTTTTGGATGAAGCTTGTATTTGAAATCAACACTTGGAGATTGATATTTAAGTTTAATTTCTCTTTGAATTAATTCATGCATAATGGTTAATTTAGAAGAAATACTTTGTTATGTTGAATCAATTATGAGTAGCTAATCCTCTAGCTAGAGTTAAGGGATAATCATTCCGGTTTGTTCTCGTTTACGTGCATGACGATAGCTCAATCTTGACGAATTGTTTTAATTTGGAATTGATAAAATCATACTCGACAAATGGTTATAACCTAAGAGTGACACTTAGATTAATTATTGATATAATCAAAGGGTGACACTTTGATTTGTGATTGAATATTTATTTGTTAAGTTAGAGTTTGTTAATTCTACGAATTGCGACTTTTAGAACCGAAAGGGGAGGAGTCGTAGAGATATAATCAATTTCAAAACCGAGAGGGAGAAATTGGTGGAATTTGGCTCGTTTAAAGTAGACATGTTCGAAGACGTATTATCTATGTGTTAATTGTTTCGTTAATTCGCTCATTTATGTTTATCAGCATGTTCGGAGACGTATTGAGGTTAAACCGCTAAATGAGTTAATTAGTCGAGCCTTTTAACCGAGTTATTGATTGCGGTTAAATGTGTGTAGAACCAGAAGCGATTATTCCCGATACCCTAGCTCGTTTATCTTTTTGTCGTTTATATTTTTAGGTAGATTATCATTTTATGTTATTTCTTAGTTCATAAATCTCCAACCCTATCATGATTAGAGTGTTTAGGAGTTATTTTCCTTTCTTGTGATTTCAACACCAATTCTAAATTCCGAACCGCCTTCCTCGAGAGATCGACCCGGGAAACGAATCATTCGATTTGGTGCTTGGTAAACAAAAATAATTTGCTACAACAATTATTATTGTGTCCAGAAAACATATGGATGAAATTTTAGGTCAATCAGTTTAATTACTGATCTGTTTATGTAACAACAACACAATATATTGCCGATTTAGAATTCTAGAACGTGATTATATGGTGGAGATATAAATCAGTTGTCTTGCACGTTTTGTTGATTTTTCTTTAGGTTGTTCATACATTCACTTGGTTGGGCTGCATACACAATGGATTCGAGTGAATAGCAGACATGTACTTTTTATATTAGATAGCCGACTATGGAGACACTGGATTGTTGTTTATAGAATGCTTTTCTCATACATGAAAGAGCAGAACGCAGTTCACTGTACATTATGGTATTCATAATGTGATAATGTGCAACATGTTAACTATTTATGTGCAATTGCATTATAACAAATGTGCAGTCAATTGATTTTTCTTGTTTTTTCATCACAACTATTCAAGGCTCACAGACATCCATTACACACCAACAGCTTGTAGTCACGCCCGGGGGAACTAAATATTGGATACTGGAATTCGTTGAATCAGCCAAACCTTACAACGGGCAGAGGTTTCAAGAACTACACGAAGCTGTCGATTTCTACAAGAGATATGCTCTCATTGTTGGTTCCGATGTGAGGCACAACACCTTAATAAAATCACGTGACAAGACAATCCTCTGGAAATGCATGGTGTGCTCGAGAGAAGGATATAAGAACCAAACGGCAATCAGTACAACGGTGTGTGATGACGAGCAGGTAACAAGGCGTAGGGTGTCAAATCGGGTAGGTTGTAATACCCGCATCATGTTGCGTATTGACGGGCTAAATGGCTACATCGTGAAAAACTTTGAGGATAAACATAACCACCCAATGACATCGGATAGTTGCAGATCGCAAATGAAGGTCAACAGGACGATAAATGCGGGACATCAAACTTTTGTACTAAATTGCATCAAGGCCAATATAGGACCAGTTCGGTCATACCATTTATATAAGGAGATGGTTGGTGGGTATTCGAATATTGGCGCCACAAGCGTGGACTTCAAGAACTTTAAATGGGAGCTACTCGCGTACATCACAGGAGCAAACGCCCAATTGGTTATTGAAAACTTCTATAAACGTTAAGAAACCAGTTCCGCATTTTATTTTTCATATGAGCTTGACGAGCACGATTGTCTGAAAAGAATTTTTTGGGTTGATCCCATTTCGAGAAGAAATTATGGTTGTTTAGGTGATGTCATATCATTCGATGCAACGTATCCTACAAACAGGTATGCGCAAAACCTGATAATAATTTGCCTCGTTAATGGTTATCGCGTAATATATATTCATTCACAATTGTTTCTGAGCTAATACATGTTGAATAAACGACAGATATAACATGGTATTTGCACCTTTTACTGGCATAGATAACCACGGCAAGTGTGTGACATTTGCAGCTGCCTTGATATCAAAAGAGAACATTGACTCTTCTGTTTATGTATTGAAGAATTTCAAAGATGCCACGAGCCAGAGTACATTGTCACAGACCTAGACCTGTCCATCGGGATTGCATTTCCTAAGGTATTCGAAACTTGCAAACACTGATTTTGCATGTGGCAGATAATGACAAGTTATGTGACAAAGTTGGTCGTTCATTAAACAGTGATGTTGAATTTAAACGGAGACTTAATGAATTGTATGGGACAGAAATATAGAGCCTGTTGAGTTTGAAGCAAAATGGGCATCCATCATGTCTGATCATATGTTGAACACACACAAATGGTTCATTGATCTGTTTGCAAAAAGAGAATATTGGATTCTGACTTTTTTCAGGAATGTCAGAATGAGCGGCTTAATAAAGACTACCTCTAGGTCCGAAAGCGAGAACCATTGGTTTGGTAATTTCACAAACAGCCATTCCAGCCTAGTTGAATTCTTATTGCATTTTGACAGTGCAATGGATGCACAACGACACAGGTCGATTAAGCTACACAACGAAAGTGAGTCCCTACAAGCAGAATTGTAAGACACCTCTGCCCATTGAGAAACATGCAAGGTCTGTTTACACAACATCGTTGTTCTACCATGTACAGACAAAAATTTGCGCAGCGTGTTTCAGTTGTCGGGTAATAAGCTTGTCTGAAAAAGATGGACACACAGAAATAGAAATCAAAGACACGGATGGTAAGACTTTCAACTTACAAGATCAATCTGAATACAACTACGTGTTCATGCAAACACTTTGAGTTGTACGGATGGTTATGTATCCACGTATTTGTTGCACTCAAGAACTTGAACTTGCAATCTATACCTTCTGCATATATCATGTCACGGTGGACGAAGACGGCTACTATTAGTCCCATGTTCCACGTTCTCGATGTCACGTCTGCTCAATGCGCCCAAATTGACAATAGAAAGCTCTTGCTTAACAAGTTATGGTCGGATATACATACATGCACGAGATTGGCTGAGCCTTGTGTTAACCGACTTATTGAATTTTCAAAGATCGTCGAAGCACACAAGATTAAACTACTGTCTGATCAAAGAGGGTGCACAACAGTCAGTAATAAAGAGCAGCAGTTCGAGACTTTCGTTGGCATGACTGCACCTCAAGAAGTGACCATACACCCTCCGACACACTTGAAAAACAAGGGCAGCGGAAAAAGACTAAAGAGTGGAAAAGAAAAGGCGATCGAATAGTCACAAAAGAAGTGGAGGGTTTGCAAGTCGTGTGGCGAAAGAGTTGGTCATAACATGTACGTGCCCCAAGAAGCCGTAGGCATATAAGGTATTTATTCACATCTCATCGTGGCGATTATTTGACCATTATGCACCTGTAGGTTTCTCATTCCAGGAACTCCTTATGTACATTAATATACACCCGCACACGTAACTATTATGTTGCAATTGCATTGTTTATTCTGTGTTATTCCAAAAGTAAACCAATCCTTGGGCTACTACGAAAAACACCATCCTGTGTGTGCACAATAATAGTGTTATCAGTAATATTAAATACAATATCTGAATATTGACATATAATATCTTTCATTTGCAGACAAAGTGGGTGGAATCATATTTGACGAGAATTGTCACAGGGCATATGATACAACCGGACATTGTGTTGAACGATTGACAAATGGTGCATTTTATTATGTTGTCAAATGTTACTATTATTTCGATGTCAAACATTGTAATGATATTCGGTTTTATATTTGTATTTTGACCAACAAAGGTTAGAACATATGAGAATGCGTGTGGACTATATGGATTATGGATGAACAGTGATCACACCCATTAGACGAATAATGCACCTCAGTATATATCACGTTGCACTTTTTTTCAATTTTAATTGCACTCAGTGTATATTATGTTGCACTTTTATTCAATTTTAATTTCACTTTATGTGAAGCAGAATGATAGGTCGAAAAATGTGCGCATTTTATATATTTAATAGTGTATTTTTATACGCTTAATTTAATCCCACGTTTATATTTTTCGACTTATTTATTTCTTGGATAAATTTATTTGCTTTGTTATTTTACGATTTATTTTCAGCATGTTAGAGGATTTTTGCAGATGGCTTGGAGCTCGAATACGCATAGCAGAATGCCAATACTAGCCCACTGAATCATTTCATTTGATAGAGTTTATTGGGTTGAAATTGATGGAATTGGGCCCAAGTTAAATAAAAAGCCCAACTTAATGGCCCACAGAACTCACACATGCTGGAAACGTGAAGAATTAAAGCTTATTTGAGGGTTGAATTATTAAGTCCTGCTAAGTCACACACATTTATTTGGTGGCTTGGAGAGTATTATGAAGATGGGGAGACTACCATTTAATTGGTTGGGAATTATTTGCCACGGAAATAGAAGGCCGAAGACTCATAGCCGCTGAAAAAGACTTATTTTCGAGAGTGGGTATATTTTACGAAAAAAGCACGACTCATAGAGGCGAGCAGAGGGGGAAAAAAGACGCAGCGGCACAAGAGACAAACGCACAGGAGAGAAGCTTACACACGCGGAGGGAAGCCACACCCGCACACAAGGGGAGAATATTATTTTCTTCTCTTTTATCTAGCATTTAGTTTCATTAGTATGTTAGGCTAGTACTTTTATTAAGTTTTAGGGGATGTTTGAACCCTAACTTTGATTTGTCTATGGATTGAAGGATTTATATTTATCGTTGATTAATCGAGACACCGTATTTATTTTTGTTGATGAGTTGATTCATGCTATATGTGTTTAATGTTTATGAATTATGGTGTTTGATTTAGTCTGGCCAACTACGTTAAATATCCATGATTTAATTGCTAGATTCGAGGCTTTAATCCGTAATTGTTATTGTCTTGTTTCGTTAAGTAAACTAGGGTCCGTGCATCTCTAGGGCAGCATGAGCATAAGTTAAATGGTCCGAGCTTTTGCGTTCATTGCTTAGACTGATCTATTTTCTTAGAAATTAATGCTGCTAGTGAATTAAATCTAGAGAGCTTATTCTAGGTTGTCCACTAGTTAGGTTTAGTCGAAGAGCTTATTTCGATTAAATACTCGGTAAGGGAAAATTCGGTTAACAGAGCTTGTTGTTAGCTAGGGTCGGTAATTCATTAGCAATTTAAAGAAGGCGTCGAAATTAATTAGCGGTAGATTTAGATTAGGTGATAACTGAACCGAAAACTGGACTTCTCTCATTTTATTTGATTTTTATTTTATTTTTAGTTTTATAAATCAATCCCCCCATTTACTGCTTTCGTAGGTTTAATTCAAGAAATACGAGAATCATCACAGCTTAATTCTTGCTCCTCGTGGGATCGACCCTTACTCACCGCTACTACTAGTTAGTAGAGGTTGGTTGAGAAAAACTTATAAATTTAAATTTGCCGCGTCACGACGCGCGGTCACAGAAAAATGTATATTACAAACATAAATCACACTTTGGTAGCAAACATCTCACGAGAAAACAAATATTTCAACACGTAGAACGCCCAAGTTAGCATGCACGATATACAATGTACAGTTGCACTTCACATAATTCATCACATTGCACCTTATCACCCTGTGTAAACTGCACAAGACGAAGCGAACCACTCATGCAATACCGTGAAACTTACGTGTAAACATGTACTTCATTACATCTTTCGGTTCATTGGGTACTTGAATAAACGTACCATTTTATCATTTCGATGCATATCTAATGCACATGTGTATGCACATTACACAGTAATGACTTGCACTTTACACACGATGGCATTGCACTATATACACTAAAACACTGCACATTACCAACAGTAACAATCGTACAAAAGCCATGGACGTGTAATATGCGACAACCAACCGTACATATTATTTCACTTCCCCGGACCATAATTTCCCACCAGAAACGGTGGAGGAGGAAAAAAAAAAGAAAAGGAAACCGTTAAAAACGTGCTAGCATAACAATTTCTAATGTCGATTTGTATGCACTCTACACACAAATATAATGCATTTTACACATGACTCTATTGCACCATATACAACATTTCACTGCACCATATATAAATGAATAATATATTATGAAGGATTATAAATTTGAAACATCTATTAGACGTAGTAATGAATGAGTCAATTATCAATACTGACACACGGAAGACATATTGGTCGTGGAACTTTTTTNATATAGAGGAATCAGTCTACAAAATTAATTTTAGTATTTAAAATTATTTTTATAACATAGTGGAGTCAAACAATATTGACCCTATACTGTAGCCAACACGGCTAGGATTAGCTGCTGATATGATGTGAAATAATTTGATGGATCGTTATAATATCTTCAAGTTATTTTCCGCATCCACATGTTAAAATAACACATAATTAATTAAAATATAATATATGTTTTTCCCTTTTAATAACATTCTAATCAAGGCACCTCTCATCCTTTAATAATACCTATTTGTCTCTACAACCCAACCCAACCCAGTAACAATTAAAAATTATTTCTCTCTCCTCCACCTATACAACCCAACCATACACCTTATCTTATCTTAATCCACAATCCAACCCAACATAAAATATTTATTTTATTTTTATTTATTTATTAAATATTATGTTAATTGTGCTATTGTTTTAGTTGTGATAAATTAATTAATTTATTTTAATTAAAGTTATTTTAATTTTAAAAAATTAGTATTTTACCATATAATTAATAAATTTACCAACTCTATTAAAAATTTAAATTATAAAAATTAAAATAAATATTGAAATTAATTAAACAAGTTACAAACACTTCGAATATTTAATTACCATTATGAAAAAGAAAAATTACAATTGTGTTCCAAAACATATAAAATGGGGAGCTTTCTTTAAAAATCCTCAATCCTAATTCTAACTTTCAAGTCAGTCTCTAGGGCTAATTTTTGCCTCTTTCACTCCCTACCCTCATATTCATCTTCCATTTAAATCTCTCATATTAAATTAAATGACAAAGAAATTGATTTGTGACATCATCCCCACTTACACATTATTTTACGATTTTTCTTTACCTAAAAATCTAATTTTTGTGTGGCTTCTTCCCCACTTCTCTTCCTCCCGTTTCCCTCCTTTTTTATTTCTGCATCTTCTCGCCGCCGGCCCCATTTTTTTTTTGTTTTTTTTGCAGCTTCATCTCGCCGGCGACACCAAATTCGGCAAGAAGAACACCGGGGGCAACAATTCTGGCGACATCGAGGCTTTTTCCGGCCAAAAGTTGTGGTTCTCTGTCAGAAAATTCTTTTTTTTTTTTTTTCCGGCAACATTGTGGTTTTTCCGGCAAAAAGTTGAAGTAAAATAAGTAATGTATGTATTATATGAGAATCTGGAGTCCAAAAATCATGTTTAATTCATATTTTTTTGTTTGATTTTTGAAGGATTGAATTTTGAATATTGTTGTTTATATTTACCCTAAAACAAATAAAGTGATCATTATCCATTTTTTGTGTTCATGTATATTAAAGTTATGCTATTTTTAGGTTATGTTATGTGTTATTGACCATAAAACAAAATAATAAGATGAGAATAATCATAGTACCACTAGTCATGATGTAGTGTACCTCTGTTTGGATATATAGTACCACTTTGCTCACTGTTGGTACCATCTGTGCAGGACAATGTGAACAATTTTTTTTAATCCAGTTATTGTTAGATATATGAAAGGGGCACAAAAGTTCCTATCTCTCTGTCCGATAATTCTTATTTTTCTGGCAAGATTGTGACTTTTTTCGGTGAAAACTTGAAGTAGTAAGTAATGTATGTATTATATGAGAAGTTTGGAGTCCAAAAGTCATCTTTAATTCATATATTTTTGTTTGATTTGTGAAGGATTGAATTTTGAATATTGTTGTTTATATTTACCCTAGAACATATAAAGTGATCATAATCTTTTTTTTTTTGTTCATGAAGTGATCATAATCCTTTTTTTTTTGTTCATGTATGCTAAATTTATGCTATTGTTAGGTTATGTTAGGTGTTATTGACCATAAAACAAAAAAATAAGATGAGAATAATCATAGTACAACTATTCATGATTGTGTGTACCTCTGTTTGGATATATAGTACCACTTTGCTCACTGTTGGTACCATATGTGCTGGGAAATGTGAACTTGTTTTTTTTTTTTAATCCAATTATTGTTAGATACATGGAAGGGGCACAAAGTGATATATTATTGTTGGGTTCGATAGTACCGTACGGGCTGTATGCAGCGGAATTTAAAATTTTTAAAGTAAGTATTTATCGTATAAATACAACACCCGTACATACTAATTGCGAATTAACTGATCGTCATCTTTAAAACATGCATCATATACAAATTTTGATTTGTTACTATAAAGTAAATAAGTTCCATTATTTATAAAAATTTGTATTATTTTATCATGAACGCAGGAAAATGTTACGGGAAGGAGAATCGGAGTTGGTAGTGCAAGATAAATCGATCGATTCTTGGAGATTCTCCATCAAAGGAGAGGGGCAGATGTTCAGTGGCGGCGCTGATGAATTTCGGAAGGTTGTTAAAAACTACGCAATTGTGAATAGGCGTTCTTTCAAGTACCGAAAAAATGATCAACAGAAGATCATTGTTTGTTGTACTGATGAGGGTTGTCAATGGAGAATTTATGCCTCAAAATA